GTGCACTCAACGGCTGCATGTATATAGGCGTATGGCTATTAGGCCGCGGGTGTCTATTTCGGTGCGGTATGCTTCTTCCAGGTATCTGATTAAAGCTGAAGTCCTTCTCCGTTGAATGGTGTTGGAGGATCCAACTTTGGTGCGGTTGGTACCGACTTTTTATGTCATTTCTCCGGGCTTAGAGCTGGAGCCAGAGCTGATGGCTTCCAGTCGGCTCGGCGGCCCGGCCCCGCCCCTCCCACATTTGTTAATGGGACACTGTAGGCACCCAGACCACTTCAGCTCATTGAAGTGGTCTGGGTGCTGTTTCTCTTTTGCACTTAGTGCTGCAACATAAAACATTGCAGTTTCAAAGAAAATGGCCTTGTTTTCCTAGCACATAGGATCCCTTTAACAAAATTTCAGTGGTGAATAAAACATTAAAAAATTGCCAACTTATGCTTGTTAATGTGTTGTTTTTTTCATGTTAGGTTCTGTTCCTCTTTTTAATTTATATTAAATATTTAGCAAATGGTATCACTATTAACCCCTTAAGGACCAAACTTCTGGAATAAAAGGGAATCATGACATGTCACACATGTCATGTGTCCTTAAGGGGTTAAATCCACACAAGACAAAGCCAGGGCAGACATTGTGAAATAGAAACATTGTTTATTTTCTTGTCTGTATGTTTTCTCTATGCTGACTGCTAGATGCCAGGAGTATATAACAGACATGGCCAAACTGCGTAGCTCTTTAGAGACAATATGCGGCTTGCTAGACTTTACAGGGCCGGCACTACCATAAGGCGGCACTGAGAGCACTGAACTGCTTCTGGTTAGACCGGGTGGAGGAAAACAAGCTCCTCTACCGTGGTTCGGCAATGCTACACAGTGGAGGTAAGCAGGCACATAGGGGGATAGGGGTAAGACACATAGGTGGGGGAGGAAGTAAGACTAACAGATTTGTCAAATATATAGGGTATTTTCCAAGGACCAATACAGCATCACTTATACTGCAACTCTGCAATTAAGATACAACTTAGTAGGGAGGTAAGTTGGCAGGGAAAAGGGGATAAGACACATTAGTGGGGGAGGAAATGAGACATATGGGGGGATGGTGGCAAGATAAGGGAAACTGCAGAAAAGTCAAAAGTATATAAGGTATATAAAATGTAAGCAGAACAATTACATAGTGCATACTTTTTATTGTTTGGTTTAGTTTTGAGCATTGTATTTCTCCCAAATTGCTGCTGCAGCTGCTGTTAGGTTTGTGACTTATAGCAGCTATATCTTTAGGTGTTGATGGGGCAGTGACCCTTTCCCATGATTCTCTCAGCCATGATACTGGCAAAGCATCATGGGAGATGTAGTCTAATAGCGTCATAGGAGATGTAGAGGATGTAAATTTGCCCATCTAAAACCATGTGTTTCTGTCATTGTTATTTGAATATCTGAAGCCTGAAGTTAAATGTAATGTTGCAAACTTGCAGACGTGATAGTACAAGACTGTGTCATTCAAAATTCTATTTTCTAATATTGGCAAATTCCTAAACCCATCAGAGCAAGACCACCTTCCTGCTGTGTTTCCGGTGCTGATTGTCCATTTGCTAATGTTAGGGTTATCTATTAAAAAAACATAACTCCAGTGGTCTTTCACATTGTATAGGTATCTCATGGATAAAACTCCCTTTCATAATTGCAGTATATAATTACCCATACACCCACTGCTGTGTCTTGCTGCCCTTTTAGTGCCAACTCATGAATAAGGCAAGATCATACAGTGTGAACATTGATGATGTTAAATAGCTTTGTTTTCAGTATGCAATATGATTCTATATTAATAAACATACATATGCATAGACGCACACAGATATTACTTATTTTTAGAACAATTTAATTTTGCAGTTTTTATTGAAATGTGAACAGATTAGTGAATTAATTGAACTGATACAAAAGTAAGCAGTCACGGAGTACTCTATGGAATATACCTAACCTAGGCCTGGGCACACCCTAAGCCCTGCTGGCCCTCGCATGGACCGACAGGGGAGATCACAGGATCTCCCCTGTCGGTCCATGCAGAGCCGGCGCTATCCGAGCACCGGCCCTGCTGTGTGCCTCCACGGGCCGGTGATAGAGTTCAAAGATCTCCCACATCGGCCCACAGGCAGGGAGGGAGGCAGGAGAGGACCCAGGGAGCTCTAGCCAGCAGCTCTGCCGGGTTCCTCTTGTGAGATCGGCAACGCTCAGATTTTCCGAGAGTGAACTCTAGCCCTGCAAGCTAAAGTTCACTCACCACTAGGACCACCAGGGATCAGCGATGGCAGCAAGGATTCCAACTCCCAGGTAAAAGGTAAGAAGGGAGGGGGCTATTTCCTAATCTGCCCCCCCCCACACCCACACACAATCACTCCACACACACAGCACCCTCACAAACACAGCACACTAACAGCAGCCTTACACACACAGCACACTAACAGCACCCTCACACACACAGCACACTAACAGCACCCTCTCTCACACACACACAGCACACAGCACACTAACAGCACCCTCACACACACAGCACCGTTACACACACACGCACACACACGCACACACATCACACTACCAGCACTATCACACACATAGCACCCTCACACACACACACAGCACCCTCAGACATACACAGTACCCCCTCCACACACACACAGCACCCTCACAGCACACTACCATCACTCTCTCACACACACACAGCAACCACACACACACACACAGTACCCTCACATACACAGCACACTAACAGCACCCTCGCACACACACATACACACAGCACACTAACAGCACCCTGACACACACAGCACACTAACAGCACCCTCTCTCACACACACACAAACAGCACACACAGCACACTAACAGCACCCTCACACACACACAGCAGCCTCACACACACAAGCACCCTTACACACACACAGCACCCTCATACACACACAGCATCCTCAGACACACACACACACAGTACCCTCACACACACACAGCACACTACCAGCACTCTCTCACACACACAGCATCCTCACACACACAGCACACTAACAGCACCCTCACACACATAGCAGTGTATATATGTATATGTGGGGGTGTGTGTGTATATATATATCTATATATACACGTGGCGTGCGTGTTTGTGCTTTAGGGTACACATAGGCCTATCCTACAACAAGCTATCGACCCAAATCATACCTGAAGACTATGCCAGAATTATCTGTGAGGAATAAAAAAAGATGATAGTCTTCAAATCATGGAATAACCAGCACTGTCTCTAGGCTTACACCCCATCAAGCTGTTTTAGGATTAACTGGGTACAAGGGTGAAAGCACAGCAACATACAAGTGCAACACATTTGTGGGAACTTTTGCAAAAGCATAGGGGATGACTTTCTGGGCAATATTTGAATATATTTTATTTTGTGTTCCTTAGCCTGCATATCATTTTTTCTTTTTCTTTTTTTTAAAAACCGTCTATATTAGATTATATATTTAACATTGTTTGTTCCCTTGTCTGAATATAATGAAATCAATTGCATGTGTGAAATGATATACTTGGAATTTCTTTGTCTGTAGCCATTTAACACCTAAACCCACAATACATCCACACTCATGTAATGTGTACTGCTATGTCAGTGCTATTTCATGCTAGCGTGTTACTTCAATCCTAAACCTCACTACATATTTCTTCAATGCGTGCTCAGACACATCATGCAGCAGTGATGTCTCCTTAAGCTGCCTGTAACCTTATCATTAATTCAGGCAAACTCTGGCAGGAGATATGCAGATTGCAGAGTTTCCTTTCTGTGTTTTGCTCGTGACCTGCATAGAGAATCACGCTACTCCACCAGACAAAGAGGCAAAAGGAGTCTAATTCTGGCAACATCCCTCATATCTACATAATGAACAAAATTACATAAAAAATTACTCTTTGGGGCCAGTATCAGGGTTATTCTAAGCACAATTCTGAACCTTGTAAAATGCCAACATCTCAAACCTTGCTTCTCTAACAGAGCTATTCATGAAAGTGAGCAATCAAAGTGAATTAAAAGTTAATTTGAAATTTAAGGTCAAAACAGCCAAATTGGAAGAATCTGTACATTCGATATGCTTTCATTTCAGCTACTCTGGCCTTAATTTTAAAATTCACTTTTGAATTCTCACTGTCCCACAAGCACTGCGGTGTGCTAAAAGCAATATTGGTTACTTGGAGATCACAGCGCAAATTATTTTCCATTGTCCTGCGTATCGCAATAAATTTTGGCTGCAGCATCAGTACCATTAATAAACTGCAAATGGGATGATAATAGATTGAGAATACCATCAACAGCTTTCTACGTGAACTACCAGGTGGCCCATGCAAATTTATTTATTTTTTAAAAATATTTTATTGCAGCATATAGGTAACCGTACAAAATAGTAAAAGGCATATCATGCTACTTTTTGGGTGCATTCAATATGACGTTATGAACAGCGACACTTGACATAGAATATACAAAATAGGGATGATAATAGATTGAGAATACCATCAACAGATTGAGAATACCATCAACAGCTTTCTACGTGAACTACCAGGTGGCCCATGCAAATTTATTTCTTTTTAAAAAATATTTTATTGCAGCATATAGGTAACCGTACAAAATAGTAAAAGGCATATCATGCTACTTTTTGGGTGCATTCAATATGACGCTATGAACAGCGACACTTGAATATACAAAATACAGTGCAGTGAATCTGTTATGCAACTAGATATTATCAGCACATTTTATGATGAGTAATGTATATGCTAAAACTGCTTCTAGTGGGGGAGGTATGAGTCTCGAGTGAGAGCAGGTATTTAAGAACATTCAGTGGAAAAGCATATAACACTAGATTAACATGTGAAAGACCATAGACACAGTATCGGCAAAATTAGGGGTATGAGCGTTTAAGAGTTGGTCATCTCCAGTGGGCTGATAGGCAAAGAAGCGGCCACTAGTGTTGGTGCCAGAAACATTTCTCAGGTGCCGGCCGAGTTCAGCTCCACTGCTGCTGGTCTGGCTTTCGGGTAAAAAGATTGGACATTACGTACGTCCCACGTCTCGGCCGAGGGTTGGGGGTTTGTGCCTGGGGTGGGTGTCTGTAAAGTCTCTGGCGTAGGCAGCCCGAGTGCTTTGAAGAACTTCCTTGCATCCGACTGTTGCTGTATCTGGATTCTCTTCCTATCGTAGAGCACCGTTAGTTTGCGGGCGGGTCCCCAGCGGTATGCCACTGCGTGGTCCCGCAAGTGCTGATTAATGGGACATAAAGATTGTCGCCATACCATGGTGGACCTAGTCAGGTCGTTAAAGAAGGAGATGTCGCAATCTTCAAAGTGTTAAGTTGGTGTTTCGTGAACTGCTGCCTGTACCAGCTTCTTACTTCGTAGCGATTGGAAGCATATCAGCAAGTCTCTGGGAACCCAGTCTGGGGCTTTAGCTGGTTTTGGGATCCAGAAGTAACTCTCCATTGAGATTGCTTTAGCCTTAAACGATGATAGCACGCTTCTCAGCAGGCGGCGGATGTAATGAGGGACTTCTGTATCTGTGATGTCCTCAGGGACACTCCAGATCTTGAGGTTGCGCTGTCGCTTGGAATCTTGGAATGCTGCAATTCTGCCCTCCATGAGGAGATTTGCTTGTTTGAGCTTGCCCATCTCGGACTGCTGGGCATCTTGCCTGCTTTGCACAATTTCACCAGAGTCCTCGAGTGATTGCAGTCTAGCTGTGATGATCCCCAAGTCTTCCCGGACCAATGCTATGTCAGCAGCAAATGGGGCTTTAATTTACCATAGCAGGTTTTGAATGTCAGCCTTGCTTGCAGGCGTTTGTTCCAGGCTAAGGGTAGTTCTTGGTAGGCTGCAGTTGTGGAGTCACCCTGAGCAGTGTGCTAATATCTTGGGAAGAGGAGGCCATATCCCGTCTCCTGAGTTTAGTCTTTTTCCCCATAGTGCCTGGTCATCTTTTGGGTGGTTATTGGGCAATATTACCAGGTATATGCCTTTATAAATCGGTGCTCTGTCAGGAGCTCTTTGCATGTGCGTCAGCTTGGGTCGCTGACTAGCTCCGCCCCCGGCCCATGCGACTTTTGTGCTGACTTCCACGATTATGTAACCATCAAGATATAATTCTCTACAAGAAGAACCAATTACAAACTTGTTACAGCAAATATGCACAACTAAACAATGTATTAGCACTGCAGGAATTTTGGTAGATTTTTATTTCATAAAATCAATAAGTTGTCAATCATTCAACTTCCTAAAGTATCAGTTAGTGACTTGCGAACAGCCCAGCAGGGTTAAAACAGCGATGTTTTCTTAATTTGGTAAAATTTGGTATCGTAAATCCTTTAGGTTGTGTCAGTTACTTTTTTTATTTCATTAAAAAGGCCAGAACGTAGTCCAAATCATATAGCACCTGAAACCTTGATTGATTGATCAGTATCTAGAAGAATTCTAAAATGTAGCAGTATGCATCTCAGATTATTATAATGTAGAAATGTTTCCGTCAATAAGACTCTATTTTCTGCTTTTAATTCATTCATTTATTGTAACATGATGTTTAGCATGAATCCCTTCTTTCAAGATCTCCAGAGTATTGAAAGGGAAAAAAAACTGTCAAGTATCTGAGTTACCAGGCTGAAATTTTGAATGATACATCAAATAATCTCCTTGCGGAGAACTCTGTAAATGCTGTCTTCTCTGCTAATAGGGGATTGCTTCTATATCTGACCTCTTGAGGAGGATTCTCATTGCCAGCTTTGGCAGAAAGCCAGGCAAGGAACCACTTCCTATTCTACAGAGAACTCACTATAGATAGATCATTCCGAGAAGAAAATAACTCGCAGAGAGGTGGATGTCTTTGTTCTCCACGCTCAGCTAGTGATGCTAACCAATTATAGCTGCAAGGACATCCCTTCCTTTACAAACACAGTAGCCAAATCATATGTTCTTAACTTTCTCTTTGCTAGAGAAATGTGCAGTGCACAGGAAGTCAGAGGGTTCTAATAAACAATTACGGACACTGCGGCAGGCCCAGCCTGTGATTGAAGTTAACATTTGAATGCTTTGTATAGAGATTGTAATCTCTCAGATACCATGACTAATGACTACAAATTACTCTTTTTTTGCCAGCTACCACTTCTCTTAGTTTCCAGAGTACAGTCACTGCACTGCTGGGGTTCAAAGACTATAATGTACCCCTGTGAGTAAAGCATAATAACAGTCGGGAAGTTTATTCCCGTATTTTCCAATCTTAAATGGACACTATAGTCATCAAAACAACTTTAGCGTAATGAAGCAGTTATGGTGTAATGATCATGCCCCTGCAGAGTTTTTATTATTATTATTATCGCCATTTATATAGCGCCAACAGATTCTGTAGCACTTTGCAATATTAAATTTAATGACTTTCTGTTTATGCAGCCTTACTCACATTTCCCCTGGCTATGACTCGTTTCATTTTTAATCAATGTTAACTTACTTTAGATGGTTTAGATGGTTTTAGTGCCTGCTAAATTCAACTTTAATCATACACAGGAGGCTCCTGCAGGGTCAAGAAGGTTATTAACAGAGCAGGGAATTCTAAATCAAACAGAATTGTGCAATAGAGGAAGTGTAAATATTAGATGACTCTTTACAGGAAGTGTTTAGGAAGACTGTGTGAGTCACAGGCAGGGAGGTATGCCTATGGCTGCTTAGACAAAGTGATTTAACTCCTAAATGGCAACAGTGAAACAGCAGGGGCATATTCTATACACCAAAACTACCACATTAAGCAAAAGTTTTTTTGGTGATTATAGTGTCCCTTTAAACTTAAAGAGACAATATAGTCAACAGAACATCTACAGCTTCATGTAGTTGTTCTGGTGAGTATAGTCAGTCGATGCAGGAAAAGAAAAGTCAGTGTTTACATTCTAGCCTAAGAACACCTCTACTGGCCACTCATCAGACGGCTACTAGTGTGGCTTCCTGTGGTAGTGCTACACAGTGTGCAGCATTGACATTCAGTGTCTCCATTCTCTGCATGGAGACAATGAAC